ACATGCTTTTGATGTTTTGGAAATGCTATTGAGCTGCTTTATGCTAGTGCCTTTTGGATATACATGTGGTGTTCCACCTATACTGTAAGCCTGAGTATGTAGTACATACAATATGGTGAGGATGTGGGTGAAGTGCAAGCGGTGTTCCTTGTACTATATGTAGGTGATAGACGTATTCCTACATTTCTCTGGCTAGTAGAATAGTTAAACACACATGGCATGAATATCTGTTGCACTGCATTGAGTTTTGGAACTTATATTGTATTACTGCTTTTGGAACTTATATTGCACATGTAAGTGAGCTTGAGGTGGAAGATCCTTGAGGGCCCATTGTCTTACTGAGATTTCTGTTTAGAGATCTCACCCCACGTTTCGGGCACCATTTCAGGTTCAGGTAATGTCGGGGTGAGACCCCAGGCGGCAGGAGGCCGGAGCTGAGTTAGATATTGCTGGTTTTATTTGCTGACTTGTTGGATGCTGGATATGCCTGTTGTTATTATGCTTTTAGCTTCATTTAGTATTATGGATTATCTTGTTGAGACACTGTTGTTATTTGGTGAGCATGGGGATTGTCCATGCCATGTTGACTTGACTATGTCTTAGTTTGGATTGGAGTTGTAATAATGTATCAGGATATTGTCCGGACTACATGTTATAGATCCGTGATTTTAGATACTCACTGTTATTATATATTATGAGGTATTTCAGTTAGTTGTCTTTGCAATTACATACAGGAGATGTTTTTTATGAAAATGATTAAGTAATCAACTTGGCTAAGTATAATGACGTCATAAATGAAAAGAAAAAGATATTCCGCATTTTTAATTAAGCGCAGCTTAATACGATGATATGTTAACAAATCGGGTATACACGGGGTGTTATAATGACTTTAATAATTAAGGGAAAGGTTTGTGGTCTGTTTATCTCTCCTTGTAAGGTCTTAATTGACATCATTATTGTTTACTATATAAATATTTATGTTTGTAGACTTCTCAGTTGTACCTATTTTACTTCAAATAGATTATGAAAATATTTGATTTCTAAAAAACAAAGTTCTCCAAAAAAAGATTTCTAAACATCAAAGAATTGAAAGTAAAGATGGAAAAAGTAGAGATTGAAAAAAAAAAAGGAAAATCAGCAATATTTTATTCCAAAAAAAATTGATTGGAGATATATTAATTATAAATTTGTTTCACAATCAAAACCATGCAGGAGCAAAATGGTTAACAATTTTCTTTTTAAACTTTAAAAAGAAAAGAAAAGATATTTATTATAAATCATTCTCGCTAAATCTCTCTATAAATGCCAATTACACTCATTAAACTCCCTACACAACCATAATCGTCCTCCTTCTTCCATGCACCGAAACACCGGCTCAAATGCTACATAAGAGAAAATTATAAAGATGAGTAGATCCTAAACCAAAAAGTCAGTGAAATTAGCAACAATTCAAACTTCATTTTTAGGTGATGCACTTTTGTTGCAATAGTATTGCTATGGTTCATTTATGGAAAAAATATTTCTGTAATTAATGCAGATAAGTTATCTGTATTTATTCTCAAAATGATGTCGTTTTGGTATTGAAATCTTAAAGAATTATAAATATAAAGACTATTATAACCCTGAAATAAATTAAAATTATAAAAATATCATGATTTTTGCCCCAAAACGACGTCGTATTGGACTTATTGCAGATAACTTATTTGCAATAACTGCAGAAAAAGTGAATCCTTCATTTATTTATGGAAAATATGTTTCTCGTATTGTATCAGATAATTTTATCTCATGCAACATAAAAAAATGGATAAGAATATTTTTCTCTGATTGTGCATTTTCTGGTAATGTTAATTTATACTTCCTTAATGGTTTGGTGATTCTTATATGCGGTGCGCATGGATTAGAATTTGCAACATGAATTAGGTTGCATATAAACTGTATATGGATTAGAATTTGCAACATGAATTAGGTTGCATATAAACTGTATATGTAATGTGTTTTTGGTTATATATATATATATATATATATATATATAGGGCAAGTTATATTTATAAACTTTTTTGTTTACAAACTCTTACAAACTACACTATGTAGGACCGGTCCTACATTAGTGTAATTGCAAAAAAAGTTTGTAAACGGATCTTATCCCTATATATATATATATATATATATATATATATATATATATATATATATATATATATATATAGGGGAGGGATCTTTTGACTCTAGAGTAAGACTTACAACTCTTACTCCTCATCTCAATCGTTGATTTCCGTCCATATAACCGTTATATGGACGGAAATCAACGATTGAGATGAGGAGTAAGAGTTGTAAGTCTTACTCTAGAGTCAAAAGATCCCTCCCCTATATATATATATATATATATATATATATATATATATATATATGTGTAAGGATATTGTAACAACCAAGTTGTGTTACTACCATATTACTAGCAATCAATCTCATCGTTAGATCGATTATGTTGATCCAATGGTTATATTTATTTCCATCTTTGTATGGTTATGATTCCACGTATTTAAAGTGAAAGCATTAAATATGAAAAATTATAGCCATACAAAGGTGAAAATAAATATAAAATATTAAATTTGAAAAATCACGACCATACAAAGATGGAAATAAATATAACCGTTGGATCAACATAATCGATCTAACGGTGAGATTGATTGGTAGTAACTTGATAGTAACATAATTTGGTTGTTACAATATCCTTCTCCTATATATATATATATATATATATATATATATATATATATATATATATATATATTTTCCATCCGTTTCGGTCTTCCATTCCACTTAGGGGTCGTTTGGTAGAGGAGAAATTTTTTTATCCAGGAATCTCAATTTTCAAAAATATAATTTTTACATTCAGTTTACGATAATATCTAAAAATTAAAAATTTAAAAAAATTCAGTTTTACGAAAATTCTCATGAATCCCGCGTGACAATTATACCTTTTTGTTTCCTTAGCTGAAATGGACTTTGCTCCCTATATCAAGGACAAAATTTGTATTTAGCATGATCTATTCAGATTTCGATTGTTCCCTTAATAGGCTACTAATATTTTGATATATGGAGATTAATTTGAATGGAGTCCGTGTGCATCTAGTATAAAAGTATCCCTTAAATGATAATGGGAGGAGATACCACCTCTTTTTATTTTCACTAGTTGGTTCCTAGTTCATGAATGTTGTTTGCTGTCAAACCAAACTCATCTCAAACTAATTTTGTACAAATCAGCGCCTTCTATCAAGCAAGAGACTGAAACTCCATAGCCTATCAACAACAGATCTTACAAACCCACTAGCTATACCCAATCCTCTATCATTTTCTTGTCCACTAACCACTGAACTCACCTTTGTGAAGCCATCAAATCATCCCAAATGCATAAGCTGCCAAAAGAAACTTGAGTACCCATCTTAACTTAAACTTCAGCCAACAGGTCAACAAATTTGGTTCCACACTTGCATCTCACCCCATCTCATAACTTAAAGCCACGAACTTGCACTTGTTTCAAAACACCATGGTTTTTGTTTTCAACTTTCCCAAATCTTCATCATGTTTTTTCTTTTAGCAAAAGACAAAAGGAACTTTTCTTTTCTTTTCTTTTTTATTTATCATTTTTTTTGTTCTTTATGCTGTTTAGTAAACTTTTATTAGGATGTTGGGCTTTGTGTTTTAAGAGCTAGAGGACCATATTTGTTGATGGCCTTGTCATAATGGGCCGTAACTAAATTTTGGTTTAGGATTTCTTTTTGATAGATTTTTTTTGAACAAAATAATAACATAAAAAAAAATTAAGGAAAAACTAAATTTGTAGTTTAGTGTTAACTTCCAAAAGATGGAATCACTTTGCTGATTATCGTTTCTTTATTTTGTCTAAAAAATAATAATAAATAAGTAAACATAAAATACATATAGTTGATTATCAAAACAAATTATAAAACATATTTGTAGTAAAAGGAAGGATCAACTGAGTTGTAACAGTTTGTTAATTCCATTATTTTTAAAATCATTTCGATTGTGACAGTCTGATGATTTTAAATCGTTTGGTGTTAATAAATGAACAAACAAACAATTGTAGTTTTTATTTAAAATTATTGATTTCGGGTTAATTTAGAACTTAAAGAATAAAGAAGATTAATTTAGTATTAATTAAAATGAGAGTTAATTGAGTTGTGACAGCTTGTTAAACAAATAATAATATTAAAATTATTATATATGGATTAGCTGAGTTGAGACAGTTTGTTAATCCTACATCTTTCATGGATCATTTTGGCTCGGACAACTTGATAATCTCGGAACATCGAATATAATCAATGAATTTTCTAAAATTAAAATGAATTCATGCATTACGTATTTTCCTTAAGAATGACGTAGTTTTTAATTCCTCATTGCACCAAAGGGTACGTTGGAGCGAAACTCTTTCCGTAAAGTTAAAATTTAATAAAATAGTTATGTACAATTAATCATAATTATATTTTAAAGGATAAAGTAAATATTTTTAAAATCTATAAATAACTTGCACAATTAATTAAATATAACCATTTTTTTAATGGATATGTCAGGGGTGCAATATGATTAAGTTTTCATCCTTCGCTGTGCATAATTAAACTCTCGAACCTTGATCTAAATTTTAAGAACTAGTTTGGAATAAAATATTTTTCAATTTTCTCAAATAAAAAAAAATTGATGGCGACTCCAACTTTTTTTTTTTTTAAGTGAATTTCGGGGCGTTACATATAGAGTTAACTTTTTAAAAATAATTGTTATTGTAGTTTTTTTTTTTTAACTCGTTATTCAATTTTTTTTAACCAATAATTCGTAGTTTATTTTAATAAATGTATTTTTATCATGTATTGGACGCATCAATTATTACTCGGGTATAAAAGCTGGGAAGTAGAGTAGGTATCTAAGAAAATTTCAACATCCACACGTTAGTTTCACCATTCCAAAAGTCACATCAAACACCAACAACTGATTAGTTGCAACAGTGCACTTTACGACATGAAATCTACGAGAAGCCCTCGTTTTCTTGCTGTTAATACCATGAACTTGTGGTCTAAATCAACCTTTCTATGCTCCGGCCTTTTGTTTCGTTGTGCTGATAATTGAGCCTCAAATGTTCGACGAAATGTCGACCCGAGTTTGCATAAAAAAAGGGTTGCTGACCGTAATGGGTACCCACATAGTGAAGTTTCTATGCAATAATAAACACCCATTTGGTGTTTCCATGTCTGTTAGATCAAAAACCACGTCTTCCCAGTATGTAGCATCGAGAGCTAGAGACCCTACGTTTGAGAAGCTCATGGATAAGTACAAGAACCTTCTCAAAGTCATTGCCATTCAAGACCTCATCCTTGCAAACCCCAAGAACCCATCAGTCTCAGTTGATTTCCTCTCCAGGCTCTCCCAGAAGCTCCACCTCAACCGCGGCGCCACTGCCTTTCTCCGCAAGTATCCTCATGTCTTCCACATTTACTATGAGCCATCCAAGTTGCAGCCATTTTGCAGGTTAACTGATGCTGCTTTTGCTGTTTCAAGGCTGGAAGCAGAAGCCATTAATGGTTATTTGCCTATTGTTGTTGAGAGGCTTGTTCGGATATTGTCCATGTCTGCATCCAAAATGGTGCCTCTCCGAGCTATTTTCAAGGTTTGGAGGGAGCTTGGGCTGCCTGATGATTTTGAGGAATCGGTTATATCTGCTAATTCCAGGATTTTTCAGCTGTGTGATGCCCATGAACCGAATACTCATATGTTGAAGCTGGTTGATGGTCATCCCAGCAATGGTTTTAGAGCGGCTGTTGAGGATTGGAGGGTTGTTGAGTGCTGTAAGGAGGAATGCAGTGTTGATAGGATGGAAATGAGATTCAGTTTCAAACATGGATATCCTCCAGGGATGAGGTTGAGCAAGAATTTCAAGGCCAAGGTGAAGGAATGGCAGAGTTTGCCATATGTGGGGCCTTATGAGTTGGTGAATGAGAAGAAGAAATCTAAGGCTGGAATGATGGCTATAGAGAAGCGAGCTGTGTCGGTTGTTCATGAGTTCCTGAGTTTGACAGTGGAGAAGATGGTGGAAGTTGAGAAGATCAGCCATTTTAGAAAATGGTTTGGGATTGATTTAAATGTAAGGGATCTTTTTCTGGATCACCCGGGGATCTTCTATTTGTCAACTAAAGGGAAACGGCATACTGTTTTCCTGAGGGAAGCTTATGAACGAGGGTGTTTGATTGAACCAAATCCTGTCTATGATGCAAGGAGAAGGCTACTTGATCTTGTTGTTTTAGAACGTCGGGGTCTGCCTGCTGTTAATTCTAAGTTGCAGGATAGCAGCAGCAATGAGGTTCGACAAGAGGACAACCAGCAAATACATGACTTGATATCATCTTAACTACGGCTTTGTTAAGGTGACTTGTTTATTTGCTTTTCCATGTCCAGGGTTGCTTATTTTTCGTACGTGTTGCTGTTGGCATATAAGTACCAAGAATGCAAAGGTAACACCTTTGATTCTTAGTTGGTTCAATGCTCTGCATACACCAGTTTCATATATAGGAAGATATCCTAATTAATGAGACTTCTGTACTAGAATGTTTGGATGGATGAAATCTGAGCACAAGTTAACTCCATCGTGTTACTTTGTTTCAGCGAGTTCTGACAACATTCTATCTACATAATTAACATTTTGGGCACGAAAGTTCATCTGGGAAGGGCATGGCAGTCTACACTTCTCGAGGAACTAGCTTGTGAATCACTTCTAGATGCTGGAATAATGGAGAGGGTCAACATGTAATCCGCCCTGGTAAAACTTCATGATACACGAAAATGGCAAAGATCTCTGAATTCAAGGGATGTTGGACACCACTGTGCCAATATCAATTATAACGATAAACTTGCTCTGTTTGTGCTACCTCTCCCAGAACTTTACTAAACAAAAGATATGTATTCTTTAATCTTTACTTTGCCTTGTGGATCAAAAATTATAATTGTTGGTTTTGTAGCACATCATATATTGAAAGGAAAGAAAATAATATTGCTCTCATGGAAGGAAAACAAAATCATTCCTGTGTATTCCCACAACCAAATTTGATTCTATTATCAGATAACATTAGGGAGGTTAAGCTCTTTGGTGAATTAGTATTTTTACTAATTTACACCAGTCATGAACGCATGCAGATATGATCTTAGATTGACCTCATTAGTTTTTTCTTATTCTTGTTTTCTGGCACACTCTGAAGACATTTGAAAAAAATTCTTTTGGGGTCAACGAACACGTTAAAAAAAATTCCAAATAAAAATATCATATTCTGCCAAAAAATTTGTGTTTCAGAAATATTTTTTTATTAGTCAGATTGAAAGTCGTCTCTATGTGCTGTAGTCAGCTAATGTTTGTATGGTCCTGACTCACATTTCCTACGTATTTATATGTTGGCTAAGAAGTAATGATCAACGGCCACATTTTACACTAAATGGGAAACAGTTTAAAAACAGTGAACATTTGTAATGAGCAACTCTTAGAAATTTGTATTCCACGATAAGAATCTTCCCATTCCTCTAGTATTCTTGATAGCTAACTTGTTTGTAATGCTTTGGTGCATTAATTTGACTCTGCAAGAGGAACTGGACTGTAGCCTGCACCTGCGGTTGAGAATGAGAACATTTTAATATTGAGGAAACAAGCATGCCGTTTTAGTTCTGCCTAGGGATTCGATTTTTTTTTTCCCCCACTTAGATATGTACACAGTATGGGGGAATGGATGTGCACTAGTCAGGTAAAAATATTGTAAAAAATAATGCAATATGCTTCAACATGCAAATAACGTTAACATAATCCAAATATTATAAAGGTGCAGCGTCAGCATTTGAATACTTTATTGGAGGCTATTGGGCTAACTTTGTCCCTTCATGTTCTCCCCTTCAAGTTTGTCTAGCCAAAAAGAGGGGGAAATACAAACAGTGCCTGCTTTTCTTTTTGATTAAGGGTACTGCAACATAGACATTGACCTATTGTTCCCCACCCACGATTGCAACAAAAAATTGACAGCTTTGTTGCTTGCTAAAAAGCAAAAAGACAAAAGCAGCTAGAAGAGAATCTTTGAAGCCATTGTTTGAAAAATCAAAACTGCTATGCCATCAACCACATATTACAAGTACCAAAATGCATCATATTAGGATGCAGTAACAGATATATGACATTTACATCCAAATTTTCAGGAGGGAGATAATAAGAATGTCTTCAAATGTTGTATTTTTTTCAGACAAGTTTGTGCCCTCTCAAGAACCAAATCAACCCTATCTTTCCTCTTGTTCTTCCTGCTTGAGCAATGCTTCGTTACAACAGTCTTTGAAGATTCAAGCTCAGAGCTTTCATCAATCTTCCCCCCTCCCATTACTACTCTCTCTGCTAAAGCCATTTCCAAACCATAGTTACTTCTCTTCCTTTGCTCCAAGGTGGTGGATTCTGCTTCACATGAAACATCTCAAATCCACATATGTCATAATAACAAAAACAAAAGGAAGAAAAATAAGTAAAAGAAACCTTCTGTATCATGAAAAATGAGAGTGCTGCAGTGATTGTTTTCTGGAAGGAGCTGAGAATCTTGATGCTTGGACTGAAGTTGAAAAATGAAGGACCTGAGCTCATGCTTTAAATACTCATATTGATTTGGATATTGGGCTTCAAGCATCTTCAACTCTTCCTTTGCTTGCTCTTCCATCATAACTCAGCCACTCTCTTGAAGCACTGATAAAATATGAAAGAGTGAAAAGCATGAGGTGATGGAAGTGGCAACAAAAGCCAGAAAATCTGGCAAACCATCATTGTTATTGGCATTGGCTTTTGGAAGCTGGAAAGTTATGTCGGCTTCTCTAGGGGTTTCCAAGGTTACTATTTTATCTATTGGGCCCATTTGGTGGGGATTTGAATAGTTTCTCAGTGACAAAAAGGACAAGACATTAATTATAGTCTATAGGGAAGTTGCATTTCATTAATAAATTAGGATTTAATAGTTTGTGTTTTTTCTGCTAAGTTGGTGTAAAAATAAGTGAATTTCATCAAAAAAATTTCTTTTTTTTTATTATAATGGAATTCATTTATTTTTATACAAGTTTGGTAGAAAAAAAAATTCTGCAAAAGAAAATATATTTTTCCCAATAAATTATTATTTTTAAAGTTTAGCTACAATACAATACACCCAAATCTCAAGATTTGGCTATCATCTAACGAACATAGTAAAATTCTACTAGTCTTGGCTGTAGGCTCTATTAAATTCCTTTTAGACAAAACGAAAAAAAAAAAACGTGTCCCTGACCAGTAAGGTTAGCCTAATGGTATGAGTGTAAATGTGTTCGATTTCCAGTAACTACCAAAAAAAAAAAAAAAAAACGTATCCCTTGCTATCCTTGGACCTTGTATGCCATACCCATAAAGTCCGGCAGAGGCCGCATTGACGAAGATCCATTCAAAGGGTAATGAATGTTCGGAAACTGTTACAAAAAAATAATAATAATAATTGTTCGGAAACAAAAGGTCTATTAGATCTCAAAACGATTTCCCAATGCTAACGTATTATTTTTATTAGTTTCCCACTATATCTAGTCCCTTTAAATGTTTATATCTAGTCCCTTTAAATGTTTAATAAGCATTGTGTGCATTTTCTTATCAATGTAATCTCAAGCTCAAAGATGCAGGGTAGCTCATTCCCTTTGCATATACCCATTTATGTTCCCTTGATAGACTTTCATCATCTTTCCATGTATATAAGGGTGTTAACAGGCTGAGTCGAGCCGAGCTTTGATCTTAAAAGATTAAATTTATGTTTAAATGTGTCAGCTTGACCAAACCTGTTACCTGTTATAAATATAATTATCGACTTATGGTATGACTTATTTACAAAAAATTAAAAGTCTGGCTGTTAGCCTATTTAAAAAAAGAAGACAACAAAAAACAACACTAGTAATTCCATAAATATCCATAAATTCAATGTATATCGAAATAGCATAATATATAACAAAATCATTCAAAAAGCCTGTTTAACCAATAAAAAGAGATGAAATGAATTGAGGAGAAAGAGAAGGTTATTACAAATAGTATAAAAATGTAAAATTAAAAAAAAAATATACTAGATCAGTCTGAGAGGCTCTAAAGCCTAGTTGGTGCCAACAACCAATTTTAGACATGTAAGCTCAGGCCTTCACTAGTCGAACCAAAGGCCCCTAATTCGTTTAATATTATTACATATATGCATTTGAGGGTTATGTTACGGGGGGGTTATTTGAATAAAGGTGATTCTTAAGACCACAATTATAAATTTATAATTATTGGATTTCGACCCTCTAACTTTTATTAAACCCATGTAATTAACTAGTTGATGAAGGTTAACACTAAACTTTTTTACACCTTTTGAAGGTTAAGACTAATCTTTTGTTCGCTCACAATCCCAAAATTCAAAATAACATCATTAGAAACATTAAATTTATATTAAAATTTTCGTTTTACAAGTATTTTTCCTATACTCAAAGAGGTACTTAACATATTTTTTATTTTCCACTAATTAAACATCTTTAATTACAAAAGTATTTTCGTTTTATTTAAAATTTCTTATGACATGAATATCGTGAATTCTTCTTCTTTTTTTCAACTATGTATTATATGTAATTTATCTATTTTGTACAGTAAGAAACTTATGGCCATCAAATTTCGATTGAAAAAATTTAATAAAATAAAAATCGAAATTTATTTTCATTAACTTTATAATCAGTACAATTTATTCCATCAAATTATAAGATTTTATCTAAGAAAAATTAGAGGATAAAATTCACAAAAAACAACGTCAAGGTTTTTCTTTATTAAACCCAATAATAGATGTAAGCATTTCATCAGTAATTCGTTAATTCATGTTCAACAATGTTCATTCTGGAACATGACAGAGGACCTATAGAATTCATGAGTTTCACATAAACATACCTTTATCCATTAATGCGGAAGAATTTTACAGTAAAATGTCCTTTTTATTAATTAAACCAAATGACACTTAATGTCATACATGAGACCAATAATTTTACATTCTCTCACTTGGCTCATGTCATGAGGTGTCCCTTCATGATTTAATCAACATTCATTATAATGCGCATTGATTAGGCTAAAGGTTCCATACATTGACCTCATCATAATTCATCATTAGAAATAAAATCAACATGAGTCATGGCGGTTCTATGCTATCAAGTCGGCATAGTCCCTTCTATGTACCACTATATTGACTCTTCTTCCTAACATGATACTTTAATAGGAAGTACACATCATGTCCAACAATAATGTCTTCATTACGGACCATAAACATTTTCAATATCATCACATATACTTGCATGCATACATAAATTGAAAACAAGACAATATCATAAACATATATTCATCAATGAGCTCAGAGTGTCAACATTTAATACATAACAATAAGTATCATCATTCATTAGCTGACATAATGCCCATTCTACATACATGACTAGTAAATGTCTTGGGCGGTAATCCCTTCGTCAAGGGATCAGCTATCATAAGATCAGTGCTAATATGCTCTATAGACACTCTATGTTTCTGAACCTCTTCTTTAACGGCAAAGTATTTCAATTCCATATGTTTAGCACCTTTGGAATACTTGTCGTTTTTAGAAAAGAAGACTGCTGCAGAATTATCACAATAAATTTTTAGCGACTTTTCAATGTTGTCGACCAATCCAAGCCCTGAAATAAAGTTTCGTAGCCATATAGCATGAATCGTGACTTCAAAGCATGCCACAAGTTCAGCTTCCATAGTGGACGCAGCTATTACAGTCTGCTTCGCACTTTTCCATGATATAGCTCCTTCAGCTAAAAGATACAGGTAACCACATGTATACTTTCTTGTGTCTACGCACCCTGCAAAATCTGAATCTATGTATCCTATCACTTCAAGGTTGTTAGACCTTCTATAAGTAAGCATGTGACCTTTAGTTCCTTGAAAATATCTCAGAACTTTCTTTGCAGCTTTTCAATGATCTATACCGGGATTACTTTGATATCTACCCAACATCCCAACTGCAAAGCTAATATCTGGTCTCGTACAAGTCTGAGCATACATTAAGCTCCATTTCTAATGATGCATACGAAATTGCTTCCATTTCTTTTCGTTCCAATTCACTTTTAGGACATTGCATGAGACTAAACTTATCTCCTTTCTGAATTGGAACTGGAGATGATGAGCAGTTTTCCATTCTGAATCTCTCTAGAACTCTATTAATGTATGCTTTCTGAGACAAACCCAACAGTCCATGTGATCTATCACGAAATATTTCTATTCCTATCACATAAGCTGCCTCACCCATATCTTTCATTTCAAAGTTACTAGAGAGAAATTTCTTAGTCTCCTTTAAAAGACCAAGATCGTTAGTTGCTAGCAAAATATCATCAACATACATAATCAATAATATAAACTTGCTCCCACTAATCTTCAGATATATACATCGATCAACGATATTTTCTTTAAATCCAAAAGAAACAACAGTATCATTAAACTTAAGGTACCATTTGTTGGACAAGTGGCTTCAATACTCAAGAGGGGGGTGAATTGAGTTTTACAAAATCTTTTCGCAAAGTGCCTCCTTTGATATTTTAAAGACTATTTCTTCAATAAAGTGATTTAATAAGGAAAAATCTAAGTGTGAGAGCAAGTGTGGAGATTAACAAAGTAAGCAAGCGAATGGATAAAGACAATCTAAAAATGCAATTTCAATACTTAAGTAAAGAGGTAAAGGTTAGAGAAATTGCAAACTAGATGTATCCTGGTTCGGTCACCACCACTGTGACCTACGTCTAGACTGAAGTCGCTCGATCAATACTTTTCACTAACTATCAAGCTTGAGGGTGCTTGACAAACCTCTACAACCTTTCAAGACTTCGGGCTCTTGATGCCTCACAATTTTTCACTCCAAATTTTCTTAAGAATTTGGTGACTTCTCTAGTATAGGGTTCACTCCCCTCTCAAATCAAGAAGTAAGATTGAGGTGATTAAAAGTGGCTAAGTACTCTCAAAGTACAGATTGCGCAAATTGAAGAACTAATAGATGTATAGCTTCAAAGGAAAGATGAGCTCAAGTGTATGCAATGAGTAAAGTAAGTAATCAATGAGCAATAATGGGCTAGAATGAGTAATAAAGGTTCAATAAATGATCTATGGTCGTCCACTGTTCATTACCATTGATGTGGGTATTTATAATGACATCTCATTTGAAAACTAGCCGTTTATAGCTGTTTCTAGCCATTGCAGACCGTACATATCTGGATATTCGTCGGGCATATATCCAGATATTGATATCCGGATATTTTTGGTTCCATATCCGAATATTGATATCCGGATATTGATATCCAGATATTCTTAGTGAAATATCCGGATATTTCATGGAAGCACCCTTTTTGTACGAATTCTGAGTTTCTTCTCTTTCTTTTCTATGACTTGTAATGCATGTTATTGGTTATGAAAATTTTATCTAGAAAAGTTAATATCATGTAGGTACTTCTTCCAAACCAACATTGTACATATAAAACCATTTGTCTCGACTTTTCTTCAAGGATGCATTCTTTTAAAATATATGGGCCACGAATATGTGTGATTATATTCTGCCATTATGCTTACGTGCTTAAGTCATTTCAAAAACCTTTTAATGCATGTTTGATTTTGTTAGATCAAGGTTCTTTAAGCAT